GTGCTAGCAGGTCATGTGAATCTAGATATTTTAATGGGCAGGTAGAAGTTTCACACCTCCTAATCGATCTTTCATATTCTATCTTCTTTCTATAATACTTTGCTTATTACTCAATTACAACACTGATTTTGGCCAGCCATTTATTTCTCTGTCATAAAAAAATCATTAAAAATGTTGGCAACAGCAATCAAAACAAAACAAGTTATCCATGAATTGGTAAATAGAAATAAACAATTTAAAAAGTGCTGATTATGTACTGCCTACATGGCATTAAACAAGATCTCTTCAAAATGAATGGAAAATTTTATATCAAATTGCTGAATGGTATTATACTCAGAAGATAGCATTATTGGTGCATTATTAATTGAATGGAGGGGGGTAGTACCATTCAGTCTTCGAACATTACACGCCATTCTCTAAAGCAGAGGTTCTTGATTATGCTATTAGTATGAGCTTTTCTCTACCTTAATGATTTACATATTACTGGAAGCCAAGTGCTTGAAAATTCTATGACAGACTTATATGTACTAAAGAAGGTGGTGGTTGCAGTTACCAAGAGTTAATATTCTATAAGATCGCTAACTATGGCCCAGCGGGTGGTAAGAATATTCATTCACAAGGTGCCTTGGCCTGGGTAGCAAAACAATTTCTGATGCAGTAGATTATGATGGACTGGTGCCATCCATCTGGACAACTGCTGCCCAACCCTGCATGACATCTTTGAGCTGAGAGTCAAGAAGCTCATAATCTGGAAAATTCTTTGTCAGTGACAGAGACCTAGAGCAGGGATTAGAAGAAAGCATCATTTTCCCATTACACTGCAGCTCTGTCCCAAAGGGCACTGGCTGGCTGACTACCACCTAGTACACTCAGTAGTCTTCACTGTGCGGAGGAATGAGGGTGAGGGTTGAGGATGGAGGATGAATGTGTACAACAATGTGGGTGGAGGTGGGGGAGGCAGGGCTGGGTGAAGAGACACTGTGTGGTCATTAAGCCACTTTGTGCTGTTAAACTATAGGACCCCAGATGTAAGCCTGGACTCTGCGGGAGTACACACACTTGGGGCTGGGAGCAGCTACAGAGCTAATCCTGAGGGTTGAGGGAGAGGGAGAAAAAGGTGTTTCAAAGTGCCTGGCTAGGCACTGCTTCAGATGCTGTTCCATACACACGTTGGCCTCAAGCTGGGTCCTCTCTCCTAGGGTCTGTGCACCACATGGCAGCTACAGATAATTCTTTGAAAGGTGGTGATAAGGCATTATTGTAAAATGAATGAATGTGAGGGTAGTTTGAAATTTGCATTTATGAAAGGATGATGGCCTATATTAATATGGTAGCTTTGTGAATTTTTTTTTACCATTAATTGGATTTAAGATTGTACTTATAATGTTGCCACCTTCACTTGTGCAATATATCCATATACTTTCTTGGGTAGGAGAGAAAGCAAACATGTTGAGAACTACACAGAACTCAGAATATTCCCATAGGAGTGCATCAGGCACAAGAATGTCAGCAGGAAAAGAAGGTGAGAATTGCTGCTCCAAATAATGAATGCTTTCTCTGACCAACATTTTTTCAATTAGGCACTCTGACTTTTGAGAGGAAAAATTGCAGATGTAATGTTTATGAAATTTCCAATATGCTAGTATAAGATTATTAAGATTATTAAGATTTGGGTTTCACAGCCTTCCTCATCCTCTTCTGTCATCTTAATTTCTTCCCCTCTTACTACTATGTCAAGAGAAAGGATAAAAGCTTCTCAGGTGAATTCTTGAGAAAAAAGCAATTAGAGTGGAATAAAAACCATGGGGACCTGGTGGATGAGAGGGTTATGTTGGCATAGAAGTGTGAGAGAAACCTGGGAGCTTGGGGATACTAGAGAAAAGGAGTGTGCAGATTTTAGTAAGAGTTGCTGTGGATTACACACTTAGACTCCTTTAAAGGTTTGAGAGATATATGGGAGGAAAGACTGAAATTCTGCACTGTGTCATGTTTCCTTAACCCAGCATCACTCTGGGACAGACAGCTGGGTTCTGGGACTTGGGAGATGGAGTGGCAGTGTCACCGTTTTATAAGCATAAAGCAAACCAGGCATCTGTTAGCTAACATTGCTGTCCTGTACTCTACCACATCTCTTTCCCCGAAACAGTCTCAGTTCTCTGGGATCAGGGATAGGGTGGATGGGCGGTATTGGAGGTCAGGAGGTGTACCGAGGGAACCCATTCAGGCTGCTGTGAAAATAAGAATGTTGATAAAGGTTCAGACATGATAACCTTAGAACCCTGGTTCTTTTTGTTTCTCAAGCAAAACTATATTAATAGCAAAAGCTGTAGCCCATATGTCTTTGTCAGAAACAAGGAGAGCGTATCAGTCACAAAAACTTCCATTTGGTCTCCCAGAGATTAGATTTTAGAATTGAATCAAGCTGCCAACGTTATATAAAGCACCCAACTCTTGGCCTGCGTGTGGTGGTGCTCTCACGAAGCCTGCTGCTCCCTGGCCTGTGCTGCTGGATTGCTGCACACCCCACTAAATCATAAACCTCTGGCACCCAGACACAACCTTTCATCTTGACGTGACCTCTGGATCCTTTTGACTTTTTAGCATTTTCTCCTTTTAGATCCTTCATCAACATTTTCCAAATACAGTGATCACTCACAATCTTGAAAAAGCAGAGAAAAAATTGTTTTACCTGCTTTTCTTCAAAAAGGAGCCTCTTACCTGCCTGCTTCTATAGCCGTAGGACAGTCAGACAGCCTTGTTCATGGGCACTGGCTGTGGAGTCTATTGACCCTATACCACCACCACGAAAGGCCCAGAGCAAATGATTTCAGTTTATAGATGCCAATATCCTCTTTCATTATTGCAGACTTACTTCATGATCCCTTTCCACTATTAATAGTTCTTTCTCCTCAATGTTAAAGCATAACCAAGTCACTTTAATAAAACATACAAAAACAAAAAGCAAGAAATATTTCCTGTAACTACTTTTCTTTCTCATCACATGGGGTTCTTGACGTAAAAAAATTAGTGCTATGTATTGCTCCTCTCTCTGACCTCATAGTCTCTCCTCCTCTTGCAATATGTCATATGCAACTTCATCGAAAATGCTCTTGCAAAGGCTTCCATGAACACCTGCTAAATCCAACATACTCACTTCACATTGTATTTCACTGAAGCTTTGGAAAGCCATGGGCATTATTCTCCTTGAAACTCTCTTCTTCTGGCTTTTTGTAATACTGTTCCTTCCCTGTTTTCTTCATCACCTGTCTGGTTCTCCTTTCTCAGTCTCCTTTGGGTATTCTTTTTCAGTTCATTCCTTAAATCTTGGTGTTTCAGGGGTTGCATTCTTTTCCTCTACTTATTTGAATTCTTTATATTCTCTGCCAGTTCTCTTAACTACATTTAATGCTTCAGCTACAATCTATATGCTGATGATTTTCAAATCTACATATATAGCCTAGATCTTTTCATCTGAGGTTCAACCTATAAATAAAACTGCCTAGATGTTCCACAGACATTTCTAACTCGGCATGCTCAAAATGGTCTGATTTCTATTCCAAAAACTTGTCCCTCTTCCTCTGTCTTTTAGTGGTAACACTGTTGACCAGTTTTATGAGAAAGAAACTTGATAAACATCTTTGATTTTTTTTATTCTCTTCCCTCCATATTCAATCAGTGGTTAAGACATTTCGGTTTTCCTAATAATAAATATTACTATTTATTATTAGGAAATAACAGTAATAAATTCATTCTCTTATCTCCTGACGCCAAGCTCATTCCCATTTCAGAAGTCAAACCCTGCTCTTTTCTAGCTTTGATTACTGAAATGGTATAACTGTCTCTATTTCCAGTCTTGTTCTTTGTTTTGTACTCACAGTCTAAATCATCCCTAGAGTGATCTTTCAGAAATGCAAATGTGATCATCCCATTCTCTTGCTTGAAATCCTTCAATGGCTGTCCATCGCCTTCATGATAAAATCCAAAGTGCCTTTCCTCCCCTTTACTGCTTCCTGTGTTGGACTGCTTTAGGGAAGATGGGCTAGAGTAATAGTTTAATCTCTAGCTATTTCATGCTTGGCTTCACTTTACTGAGGCTGCCAATTAGTGATTTAGAGGTGAACTCTCAAGTGCTCTGCTGTGAAGTGAGCCTTGGCCTTGAAGAGATCACCTTATTGTCACTAAAAACCTGCACTGACTTGAACCTGTAACCTGTAGTTGAACATCTATAAAGCCCCTTTGTTATCCCCTGAGTCACGAAAGTGAGCTACAGAAATGCTTTGGTTATTTTTAGGTCCTATTTTGCCTAAATGAAGAAATATATCTTTAACTTTCTGATATTTAAATTGTAAAATTTTCAGACAAAGATGATAGTCTTTTTTTCTCCTACTTTTCCTCCTCTTAGAATTGCTTTTCACAGAGAGGTGAGTAGATCTTTTCAACTCTACTGACTTTTGCAAAATGGTGCATGAGTGGCTTCATTTTCTTGTCTTGTCATCTGTTCTTTCTGGTATAAGGAATGGAAAGTAACAACAACTGGGTATGATCATATCAGCAGGAAACATCTTTGCTTCTGGCTGATTCACAAATTGCCCCTGTCTTGCTTGCCATTTTAGATAGAGGGACAGAACGTCGAATGGACAAGAAAATTAAAGGGGCTGCGCACATACACAAACTCTGCTTATAAAGGTAGGAAAGGAGCAGTAAATAAAAACAGGCTATATAAATCTCAAAGACCCACACAGGAAAAGATATAACCAAAGTAATTCAGTATTTAGAGAGAGAGAAGAGAGAAGGGAAATCTGTTTTCTTATAAAAAATCAATTTTTTATTTAATATTAATAATTTGCCTTTTCAGCAGATAAATAAAATATGGTTTATACAAATTTGACAACTAGGCAATTAGCAAGGCAAACTTTTCCATCTCTACCTGTTATTCCTGTCCTATAGCCTGTAAGAAATTATGATTGTCAAGAGAAAAAAGCCAACATTATGCATCTTACACAAGAATGTCCTCCACCAGGGTGTGAAGGGCACTGGGATTGCGGATGAGTTTGTCAAGGAAGCTGACAATGTCGGTAAATTTTGGTCTGTGATTTCTCTCCTTCTGCCAGCAATGGAGCATTAGTTGGTGTAGAGATGCTGGACAGCCCATGGGAGCTGGAAGTCTGTACCCTTCTTCAATGGACAGAATGACCTAAATGCAAACACACACAGGTTATTCTCTTATTTTTGGGGACAATAACATATATGCTAAGTTATAATTCCTTTTTTATGCAAGCATTAGAAACCAAAATAATGATAAGCATGAAAACCACTTGTGAGTACAGGGGTCTAAATAAGCATAAATACAAAAGTTGTGAACAAAAACTGCAAGTAGCTCCATTGTATCTGCTGACGCCCTGAGAGGAAAATATGTTTTAAACGTGTGCTTCCAGTATACGGAAGGTAGGTTAAGCTTCATTACAATCTCAAGATTTTGTTTTTCTGTGATTTAGCTGGAACATCTCAAAACCCAGTTAGAACATCAGAAAGTCAGCATAAGATTGATACATTTAGTACAAACCACAAGTAACAAACGTTTTAAATAAAATTTAAGTAAAATTCTGCTGAAGCACTGATTTCCTGAGTCATTTTTTTATCCTTTTATTATAATGACAATGTGTATTCTTTTCCTAACCTTGATTCCTTTTTTTGTCTTCATTTATTTAATTCCTCTTCTCTTCTGGCTTTCCCTTAGTCTGACACTGACCTGATTATAAAATCATGCTTCCATAACTTCCAAGGTCATGTAATCCTTGAAATGCTATTTATGGCTAGTTTAAGGCCACAGACCAATAAGAGCATTCAGCCTGATTATTTCTGGCCCAGCGTGCTCCAACAGAACTTCTGTGATGAAAGAAATGTTCTCTTTGTACAACGTGGTAGCACATAGTCGCACATGGCTATGGAGCGCTTGAAATGTGGCTAGTAGGAGAGAGACAGAATTTTTAATTTTAATTAGTTTTAATCAATTTAAATTTCAATTTCTATAGCCACATGTGGCTAATGGCTGCTCTATGGGATAGTGCAGCCATAGGGAAAGGAATGTGTTTAAGAACCAAAGTTAAGAATAAGAATGAGATAACAATAACATTTCCCTTGGTATTTAGGAAATCACGTACGAGATAAGGTAGGACATTCATCTGTTTAATACATAACTTACCTGTGAATTTCCTAACAATGTGATAAAATTGACCCTGAATTTACATAGCTTAGGTTTTTATGAAATGTTCAAAATTATTCACCTGAACATTTATTCTTATATTGTCTCTAGGAGAAAGACAAAGGTAAAGGGTTTATTCCCCACATTTTTGAGGTGGGAAAACTGAGAACAGACTAATATTTAAAGACAGGGAAAATTTAACATTACCCTTGCCATGCCCCCTTCCAAAATCAGAAATGTAAAAATGCAAATTAATTTCTTTTTTAATTGATACTATTTGATATGACTCTAAAATATTCTTAATTTATGTTAGAGATAGTTTGTAAAAAAAGGAGCAATAATATGCCTTCAGGAACCTCTTCACTGCTAAATTTTAGCTTTTTTAGTAATAGGGAATTTCGCATAATACCATCATTGTCTTTGTGACCAGCATACTTTAGCCTGTCAAAATACCAGCCTTTTTCTATTCATTTGATATTCCATTATTGAATAGGATTTTTTCTCATATGTTTTCTGACTACTCTTGCTACCAACTGGGCTTCAATTTTAAGACTTTTTTTTTGCACATTTTAGTGAAACAGGATGTTTTAACACGATGCGTGTAAAAACACTTGCAATGCATCAAAATTGTTGCAGATAGCTTAGAGAAGTAACAAAGAAAAGTAGGATAGAGTCCCATTACAAAACAACTTTGAAATCTGACCCTTGGAATGCTCAATAGTCAATTTACCACAGTTACCTAATTATAAATGCATGGAATAAAATAGGCGACAAGTGAGGTTATATTCTGAGAAAAAAAATAGCTGCCTTTATTGTATATCTACCACGTGCTAGGTGCTTTGCATATTTTTCTTCATTTACTGCTTAAAATAACTCAATGTAGTACTTATTATTATCCTCATTTCTTAAATGAGACAATTTAAACTCAGAAAAGTTAGGAAACTTGCCAAAATTCACATAGCCAGTAAGCGGCAGTGTTGGAATTTGAACTAAGTTACTTTTAACTTTCAAAATTTCCTTCTGACCATTCCCTAGAAATGATTTTCAGTTCTCATGATATAACATCTTTTTCTCTAATGATATATGACCCAACACAATTTTAGTAGTGAATACCATGTTACCTTTTGTCACAGCATCTGCTAATGGGACTTCAATGCTTTTATTTGGATTCTGTATTTAATATTCTGGGTAAATAAAAAACACATTTATTTTATAGCTTGTAAAATGTAATGTCAAACTGAACCAAGTCATTTCTAAATGGTACTGAGTCTTGTGCACATTTCTATTATGGCATCCATTACATTGCATTGTGATTTTTTTCATCTGTCTTTCCTCTAAGGCTATACATAACTTGAAAGCAGGAATTATGCCTCTATATTTTGTCTGCTCATCATTTAGTACCGTGCCTGACACATTAATAAATATTACTGAGCAAAACAGAAGCTATTAGAAAAAATGTTTGGATTTGTCTTGATAGAGGAGCAGATTCTTAGAAAACTTCTCTCAAGAAGAGTCTCAAGATACCCGAAACTGAGTTAAAGTACAAGCATGAGAGCATTGGAAGTCTTCTCTGAAGGAAATATTAATTAAAAACATGGTACATCAAGCATCAGTGTCCAAAAATGATTTCATGATCTCACTTTGGTTTGCCTGGACAATGAGTCAGGTAAGACTGGGCACTTGCTCTTCCCTTAGAGGTAAGTTCTTGACTCAAACTCAGGTTCCTATAAGATCGGTGGCTTCCTTCTCCTGTCCAGAGGGGTTACTATTGCCTATTCGCTCCAGGTCCTTAGCTGCTGGGTAGCTGACTTTCCCAGACAACTCTGGGAAACAGGTGACACCCAAATCTAGACTGCTTAGCGTTAAGCAGGCTGTTTATTCCCTCCTGACAAACTTGCTGTCATGCTCATCTTGTAAGAGGATAGAATGTGAGAGGGTGGGTTTCCTCGTCTGGAGCCTTTACCCATCATGTGTCCAGCAGAGTGTCTGGTTCCAGCATACCTCTCTGTGGGGGCAGTGGGAGGCTCAGGGCACAAAGGACATTTCTTCTAGCTGACCTCTGGCTTTTAAGTTTCCTCAATTCTTTAAGTTGTGACCTTGCAAAATTTGTTTTGAGCCCTGGCTCATGGCAGGTTCCAAACACAAAGGAACCCATCTTATAGGAAAATAATAATAATAATAATAACAGTGACAATGATAAAAACAGGTAATGATTGAGAGCTCTTGAGTACTTTCAAATGCCAGTTCTAAATGATTGTACACACATTAATTCTTTTAATCCTCACAATAACTTTATGAGGTAAGTACAATTGTTATCTCCATTTTACAGACAAAGAACTTAATTACAGAGAGGTTTAATTTGCCCAAGATCACACATCTGAAAATTCTGGCTTCAAAATCAGCCAGAGAAGAAAATTCTATCTTTTAAGCAATTCACAAAATTGCTTAAAACATATCTTTCTAATGGACTTTTAATTTATTCATCCAAACAGATACATATTAATCACTTTAAACATACTTTTGACCATTCTATGTGTAAGGGATAAGATAATGGGTAGGACATATCTCTGTCTTTAGGAAACATATTATTTAGTTCAAGAGTGAGCAAGGAATAGAAACATGACAAGTGCCACATAGAACAAGGTGCTATGGAAGATGTGGGAGGGGTACCTAACCTAGCCTCAGGAAGACTTCTCAGAGGAGGTGAGTTGAATCGTAAAGGACATGTAGAAGGCAGCAGGGTCAAATAGGTGGGTTGAAGAGAGGAGATCTGATCTCGACTGAAAGTAGATTTATGTGGCTAGAACAAAGTCCTCAAAGAGAGGAATGGTGAGGTTTGAGGCTGGGAAGTTAAGTAAAACTGTATTTCTTGAGATCACGAATGACTTAGCATGCTATAAACTTAGACTTATGCAAAGGGGAAAAGGATTTTAGTCAGTAAATTATATTAGATTTCCCATTTAGAAAACCTCACTCTGCTGCACTGTGGAGAATGCACTGGGGAGTCTAGGGTGGCCAGGAAGGGGGTTTACAGTGGTCTAGGCCAGGAATCAGGATGGCCATAGTGCAGGCAATGGCCATGGTGTACAAGAATTGGACAGATTTGGCAGCACTGGGCTGAAATCAGATGTGACAGTAGAGGAAGGAGACAAACATAACTTCTAGGTTTTTGGCTTGGTCAGCTGGTAAAGAGAGAGGACAGAGGAGAAGAAGCAATTTGAGGGCTGCGGTGGATGATGAGTTTAATTTTCTGTGAGCTTTCTGGTTTCAGATTCAGGTAACATATATACCTCTGAGGGCTTATTATGTGTGAAGTTCTGGGTTAGGTGTTTTTTGACACAGCTCACCTTATTTAGGTCTCAAAATACCTTATTATGTAAATATGATTATACACATTCTATAGGTAAGAAAATCGAAGCTCAAACTGATTAATGGATTGGATCAATATCACATAGCAGATTCTGGTTATTAGCCCTTTATCAGATGTATAGCATGCAAACATTTTCTCCCATTCTGTAGGTCTTCTAAGTGAAGTATTGCAAGAATGGAAAAAGAAACACCACATGTTCTATTAAATTGGAACTAATCGATTAACACTCATGTGCACACATGGTAGTAAAACTCAATGGAAATCAAGCAAGGTGGGGGAGAGGAGTGGATAGGTAAATTCATACCTAATGGGTGCAATGTATACTACCTGGATGAGGGCATACTTATAACTTTAATGCAAACTGTACAAAAGCAATTCATGTGACCAACACATTTGTACCCCTGTAATATTCTGAAATAAAAAAAAAATCACATAGCAAACAATTTCCTGAATAATAGACTAATATTATCATGGTAGCCTCTGAATCCCAGCAGAGGTAGAGAAAATCTGTCCTGAATCTTGAGCCACATCCCTGACTTACTCCCCCAGAAGTAGATCTTGAGCCCTCTCTGTGTGCTCTCATATACTCTGTGCTATGACTTCCATATCTGCAGTTCTAGCT